AATTAATTTAGTTAACGGTTGGCCAGGAAAAACTCTGGGTAGATGCATAGCCAGCTGCTTTAACTTAACTACATCCTGCTTACTCACATGATTTATTTTTTAAATAGACATTGCTTTTAAAGATCAGAGAATACATCATTTTATTGGAGAGGCCCATTTTTTATCTTGCTCATGGGAAAACAAGGAGCGGTGTAAATCCCCCAAGACAAAGGCAAGCGAGTGGCTGGTGCATTCGCTTTCTAAGAGCCTGTTAGATGAGGGACCCTGGCCATCGGCAACAGCTGCAGCTACTTCTTAGCTTGTAAATGCAAGATGTGTATTTCTTTTCAGCTAAGCCCTACTGCAAAATTGCTGAATATCTTATGCGTGTAGGAATCTGAGGTGCATGCTGGACGTGTAACTGAAAAAAGGGGTAGGAGCTCTGCTCTTCTTCCTGTGTATGTAACAGTCGAGTCAAAACCTGCCAGCTGTCACCTCTCCCTGGACTGGTCCCTTCCCTTAGTGAAAGACAAGTTTGGTTCTGCCTTTCCAAGCGGCTTCCTGAGCTGGGTATGGTTTCCAGCTAGTTGTTGCCCTCCGTTAGTGGGAGGGCAACTTGTCCATCAACTTGTCCTGGCTCCCCTTGAATGCGTATACAAATTCAGTGTATCCTGTGACGAAGGGTGTGTGCGTCTTGTGTCTTCCATGTGGCACATCACTTCATTTTGCCAGTTTTGAACCTGAATCTCGGGAGCTTTGTGTTGTGCCCCCCAGTTCTTACAGGAGCTGGTTTCCAGCCACTGCTGTGAGCGAAAGGGCTCAGTCTGGGCTGCTGCGCTGTTCTGCTCCCGTGAAAGTGGGGGCCGTGTTTCCCCCAAGCCTTGCGGGATGGCGATTCAGGGCTGAGGATCTCTCAGTTTGCTTGCTTCTACTGAAAAGCGTATCGATTTCTTCTCCTCTGCTAACTAACGTGCCTAAATGCAGCAGGTTGTCACATCTGATCGGAGATCTTTAGTTCTTCGCAATTCTGTGGTTTTAAACTTTACACACCTTAGTCAAATAAGTAGACACAGAGGGATATAAAAATTGGAGTGATTTGGAAAAGATGCATTCTGCAGTGTCTGAGTACTTAAATAACAAATAACATTGAGAAGTGACTGTGAAACATTATATTGGCATCTCTGATTCGCAGGGACATTTGGTCAGTTTAGGGAGGAGAGAAATATCCAATCGAATGGTTTGTTGACTTCACAGACTGAAAGGTCGGGTCAAAAACCTGCAGATTGCCTACTGGCACCTAAGCAGTTACTTAGCGAATCGCTACAGGAGCTTTAAAAGGCTATTTTTCTGTCTCTTCTGCTGTCTAGCACTCCGTTCCTATAAGTGCATGTTCCCTTTGCCTTATTCCTGAAAGTTTTGCTTTACATTTGGCTATATTACAATTCCTGTTGATTGAATGAGCCTACGTTTTGGCCAAAAGGCCAAAATACAGGCTGAACCAGTGTTAGCTTTGGTAGCCGTTTCCTAGGAGAAGTTCCTGTCTTAGAGAAGCTCCCATCTCCATACTCTCAAATGTTTATATGACCCGTCACATACATTTCCTCACAGATTTTGTTTTTAATTTACTCTGCGTAATGCTGCACAGCAAAGACTACCTCATTCTTTGCAGCTGTTTTAAATCATCTTGTAAACAAACCATGTGCTATTTATCTTACATAGTTTATCATGGTCAAAATACATTCTATAATGCTTTATTTTTGTAGCTAGCTAGTCCCAAATGAGATGTATGTCACATTAATTCATACACTGTCATGTCTCAGTGCCTAATTAAAGTACTGATGACTTAAATTCATCAATATTTCTGGCATTCCCTGAAATATCGTCTTACTTTTTGTTGCAACTTAAACAGCAAGTTCCTTGGTTGGTTCACAAGCCTATTCCTAATTTTGAAGAGAGCGCAAGTGAGAAAGTGACAATTCTGACTTGTTTATAAAGGATAGAAGTGGTGAGGCTGTTTCAGAGGGGCTAAGATAGTACTTGCTTTTAAAATTACTAATGCATATATACCTACTTAACTGACTTATGCTGACTTACATTATCAAGAACATACCCAGTATAATCCAACTATTTCAGCAAATGATTATCTCAAAAATTGTGTGTGTTAGTTTTGCTGCCCCAAGTGAAGTGCATAATTTGCATAGTGGGATTTAGACATTGCACAGGAAAAGTCAGTCAGCTGAGGTGACGCTTTTGCAAGGTTCTCAAACAACACAGTCGGCCTGAGCCCCCTTGTCGTTTAACCAGGGCCTGACCTCGCACCCTGGGGTTGCAATATGAACTGTACTTGCCTCTGATGCCATTTCTGCTGTTTTCTGTACTAGGGATGTTGTTTAATGCTAATTAGAGCGCGCAAGTGTCTTTGGGCACTTATTGCTCAAAACCACGTTTTGATTCTCTGACAGGCCTCTTTGCTTTATCATTTTCTAACTTGAGAATTTTCACAGCTAAGGTATGAAAGACAAGAATCAAGTCATCTCTGAACCTTTTTGTAAAGAAGTATAATAAATCAAATATCCTAACTCTCCCATTTAAAGTCTTGATTTTCCGTATCTGGATATCTTTGCAATTTTCCTTTTTCATGTGTGGAACCCGGTGGTAGATACCAGTACTAGTCCATATACAGTAGTCAGAGATAATGTCATTTCCTTACACCTGTTTGTTATTTACTTGATTATACATCCAAAACCAAATTAATCTTCTTCATAGTTTATCTTACTTGATTAGCCATGTTTCCTAATCTGTTTCCAGAATTAGTTTTCTAGGATCCGGTTCCTTTGACCATACAGTTTTTATGCTTTGTTTCTAAAATTCAGGTGTTATATTTAAATGTATTTAGAAACCTGTGTAGTGAATGAATCTAGCTTACTAAGTTACCTGTGCAGTACAGCTGATCTGTTCCTGACTTTCAGCATCATATTGTCACGTTTTACAGGCGTTTTTTTTTTAGCGGGGCTTCTATATGTTGTGTTCCAAATCACTGCTAACGTTATGCATAGCCATGTGCTGAGAACACATTCTTGTGGCGCTCGCTAAGTATAATTCACTGGTTGATGATTTCCTGTTATGTTTTGAAATTCCTGGGAAAAGGAGGAAGTCTGCAGAGCAGAGCATGCTGTTGGAGTGGGCTGTTCCGTCTGCATTCTTCTGTGCTATTAAGTGTGAGAATGCACAAATTTCATGTATTTGTTAGAAGAGCAGATAATTGAAGGCACTGCATATTATTTATGATGTTCTAGAAAGTCTTACCATTGCAGTATTCACGTATCTCTCACATCGATGTTCTTATGAATTGCCATGTTCTCTTGTTACAAGGAAAGTACCAGGATCCCTATGCTTTCGCTAGCTAAATATTTCATTGAAGACACACAATATGTTTTTCATACCGCCACTCAGGTAGAGGTTGTAGGATGGGGTCCTCAGTCAGTGATAGCTCCAGGCATGGGTAGCATGTCAAAACGTTTTTTTATTTTCCCAAGCATATTTCAGAGGTTTCCTCATCAGTGAGGACATGGAGTGTTTAGAAGGAAGAAGAACATACCTCAGAAATAAATTATCCAGTATTAGAAAGGCTAGAAAATAAGAACAATCTGAAAAATGTTTTATAAATCTACCTACAAAATAACGTATATAATCCTAGGTAGTCTTTAAATAGTGCTTTTCTTCAGCATCTCCCTCTGCAGTGTATGTTTTATAGTGCTAGAGAGCATCATTCTGCATTTTTTCCACAAAACAGAACCTGAGCAGTCTCCTCCCTACCGCTGCTCGACAGCCGCATGACAGAAGTGCAAACAGAGTAGCATGATTTTTTTTTAAATCATGTTGCAGTTGGAGTGGACTTTGGGGAAGGAGGGTTGTGTTTATAAATAGCAGTGCTTGGCACTTTTAAACGCTTCCAGTAGCGCTAGCATATGAACGTAATGACTAACAATGCCTGACAATTTCAGTTTTACTGCAGTTATTGCTTTGACAGGCTTTGACTTTCTGCCAATTCAGTTGGAATGAGGCATTACATCCCTTTTGCTCCGCTGGCTTTCTAGATCCTCTCTCTTTTTTTTGAAGCGCTATTTTGTTCCCTCACAACTCTGATTTCTCTAGAGTTGTGACCGCGTTCCCCCGTTCCCCTCTGCCCCGTGGCCACCTGCGCCTGCTCTGCTGCTGAATCATTAAGGCGCGCACACACACACGTTCGGGGAGAACAGGAGTGATATAATTGCAACACTTAATTGCTCTTTTGCCTCATTAATCTTTTAATAGAAATGTCTGTCTTTGACTGGAGCGGGAGCTGCAGCTACTTGGTGCTTCCAAAGATGAAGCGCAGAGTCCAGCTGCCTGAGGGCAGGCGCTGCCCGCTCGCACGGGCGCGGGGCATCTCCCTCCTCGCTCCTTCCCCTCTGTCCGGGCTGACGCCCGCGAGCTGCATGCGAGCTCCCAGCCGCCGGCTGCAGCTGCTGCATGTCAAACAGCACAGGGCTACCCCTTGCGCTAATATGTGGGAAGGCATCAACATTAAGCAGTCAAAACTGTGTAAACTTACATGTGTTGAAAGAAATACAGTTTATCAGGAAGATAAAGGGAATGTCAAGGACCAGGATCAACGTTCCCGCTAGTTCACCTTTTCTTCTCTTTTTCAAGTTTAAGCTGATTACTGGCTATAACTATTCATAGTTGTTAGTTGCGGTATTAGAGATGAAATAAGCTTATTGAAATCAGTCGTGTCCTCAGTGTTTAACCCCATGAGTCCCAGCTCAAAGTCAGTCAAATGGGCTGCTCTTAAAAATTAACTGTTGGCAAGTAGGGCTAAAATAAGCCCTTGATGCCAACTCATTTTTAAATAGGCAATTGTGCACAACATAAAATCTCATCATCTTTTCTGTTCTACTTTCTAATACTGGCAAAAGCTCCCTCAGCATTGGGGAATGAATTATTCCTTCACTCCAAACGGTGCTTCCGGGTCCAGGCCGATGACGTCTTGTATGGTACAAAACCGAGGCCAACTTCTCATGCTCTCTGGCTTGCTGATCGCTCAGAAATACTTAGTCTGCACCTCATCGGTCTGCAGTGGAGTTCACTATCAAAAGAAAAGCTTAACAGAGAAAGATCTTTTTTCGCTCTTTATTTTTGTCTCAGAGGCACTTACTTGCAGCACGTTTGTGAGAAATATATTTTGTCTGCAGGTAAATTGATAGCATAGATTTTTTTGTCTATATGCATCTATATGTCATTGTTAAGGAGTATCTAGAGATTGAACGTACAATAGTTGGCCAAAACAAGGGAGCCAACACAATATGCACACTTTACTCCAAATTCTGAACTTCCGTAACTTCTTCTAAGTCAACAGAATGATTTTTACTTATTTCAGAGGTATAGCTGTCAGCATGTTGTAGTGGAAGTTCTTAACCTGTGAACAGAATCCGCAGTAACTACTCAGAACATAAACGGTCATTTGTAAAAACTTGCAATTTTCACTTGATAGCCAAATGTTCTCTGTATAGTTATCAGGTTTTCTGTAAGGAAAAAAATGGAGATACTAAGGTATCTTATCTAAGGTAGCATTGCCTTTAGAGGAAATGACTGCATATTGGAGAAAAGATAGTTTCAGAATGAAAACATATATTAACAATTGGTGTTCTATAATCATTATGTGGTGCAATAACCTAAAAGCTCCCATCTGGCACAAAGAGTAATGAATACAAATGATATTTTAATGCTTGTGGAGTTTATTAGTCTCACTGTGGTGAAATGGCTGCAAGTGACTTCCTCTTTGCTTATTTTTTTCAGTTGTCTACTTTTCTAGCAGCAATGATAAAAACATGAAAACAAACGAATAGGAATTTTAATAGGAAGTTTAATATATCTCAGAAGAAATCTGCTAGGCATGGGGCATGCTAACACATTTGGGGCAGCATACTCAGAACAAGGGACTAGATTCTATTTTAGGACTTTCTGTCGGTGTGGGAGGCATACACCACGTCTCCCTGCTTGGTGCCTCACTGTTGGCAGTGGGCTTTCTTCCACACAAGGCATTGTGTGAAGGGTGGAGACATACCCTTGGTTTTTGGTGGGCCCAAGTCAGATTCTGTCTCTGGTCGCAGATTTTCAAAATCTGAGCTAGGCTTAGAGCAGGGGCCCCCGGGACTAGCTCTGCTCTTTCTGTTGACAGACACTTAACACATACAAAGATGAATTCTAGTGGTGGTCTTTAAATGCCTCTGGCTAACATGGAAACTGAATATGATTTTCATAGAGGTATGGGGTTTTTTGGTACTGCAGTTGTGCTCTACTTTGAAAGTATGATTTTTATGTCAGTCTCTATAGAATTGTACTTCCTAGCTCTTTGATTCAAAAATCAAAGACAAGGCTTTTCTGTGATATAAATCATGTTCATTCACATCAAATTGTCTAGGGCAAGCAGAGTCAAATTTTCTTGACCTGGGCTCAGATTATGTCGATTCAATTCTAGTCTTATATTGATGAGTTTCCCATCCCATTAGAGGTGTAATTTACTGGGCACAATCAGTAATATACTACTTAAAATTCTTTAAACAAGCTCTGATATCTATTAAGTTGAAATATAAACTCTTAAATAATTTCAATGAAATAGAAGGTCAGGTTAAAAACCCTAATTATAAAGCAAAGTCTGCATCTTGTTTTGCTGAATTTAGATGAATTGAAATATCTGTTTTTAACACTTCTGTCATGGGATGCCTACAGTTCATGTCTCTTTCATCTCTAGAGTCACAAAATGACAAATTGCTATAAATTTTGCTTTCCTTTCTATTTGGGTAGAAATTTTTGATCTTTTAGTTTTTTTCAGTATGAATAAAATCAGATAATATCCAGCTGACATTTGTCATTCTTGGCTCTGCTGGTATTCATTCCACTAAGAACCGTTGTGGGTTTGAAGTTTTCCATGGTAAACAGGCATAAGTTTTTCTGTGCAAACCTGTACCTTGATTCAGAAAAATCGTGAATTCTGGTCGAAGATAATTAAGAAAAGAGTTATACCTGGCTGATTTTTTCATCCAGTTGTTATATCTGGGCAGCCTGAAGAGGTAGGAGGCCAAAATTCATTCACAAAACTTAAGTATATGGAAAACATCCTCAGCTTTAATACAGGGCTAGATTGATTATTGCGTGCACGTTCCTCAGTGCATCGTTAATGAGACCAAATCAAGGCCTCTTTGTAGTGTCACAGAAGTATAAAGATGCCTTACTGTAAATAATTATAATAATCAGGCTACTTATGTTTTGTGTTCATTCTACATATCCATATTGTGGCATGGGAAGAAAAAATTCAGAACCATCAGAGTTAAAAATTGCCAGGAAAAATTTTCTCAACCGTACATGAGGCAAAGCGGAATCCTGTAGAAGAGCAAAAAGCTGACAGAAACAGATTCTAGTTAAGATTTGATAATAAGTGTATATGAATTATTTAATTATGAAGATAACTCTGTCTGTATCCTCTTTTCAGCTAGGTTGATACCACTTTTTCCGTCTTTGACAATAAACTTAATTGTGTTGCTTAAAGTGTGAATTTAAAGCCTTTGAGTATCCTCTGGTTTTCATCAGCACATGTCTACTGACATGTATAAAGTCAGCTATTCACCTCTGCCATTGCTGGCTCATGGTCACCCTGTCCACCAGGACCCCCAGGTCCTTCTCTGCAGAGCTGCTTTCCAGCTGGTCGGCCCCCAGCCTGTACTGGTGCCTGCAGGGGGTTATTCCTGCCCAGGGGCAGGACCCTGCACTTCCCTTTCCTGAACTCCATGAAGTTCCTCTCTGCCCATCTCTCCAGCCTGGTGAGATCTCTCTGAATGGCAGCACAGCCCTCTGGGGTATCAGCTGCTCCTCCAAATTGTGTGAGAGCAGGAAAAGCAGGAATGTAGCGTGTACTTATATGCCTCTCAGGATTATATTTTGCAAGCATATAATTTCCTTCGAGTACTTGTATGCGAAAGAATTCTGCAGGGTAGGACAGGATTATGCTTACTTTATGGAAACTCGTTGCAACGGGAGTAAAGCATCTATGTCACTTTAAAAATACTGCTATAGTTTGAGCAAGGTAATGTCACAGCACAGAACTGAAATCTGTGTCTCAGTTTCAGAGTTAGTTCTCAACTACATCTTCCTTCACTAAGTTGTCGTACTTTTGGGCTTGATTATCCTCCTTTTCATAACATCTCAGGTTACTAGTACCTCAGAACTCACAAGGTATGCAAGATAAAAAAGTATTTACGTGCATGAAAGCAGTTATTAGACTAAAAGCATATTGGGTAAGGGACTTTGATTTCCTCTTATAAAACTTTTGGAGGATTTTTTGGTTTGCTTGTTTTTCTTCCACTTTAATCTCACGCTCTCCAGAGTATCAAAAAGAGAGTGCTCTGTTTTATAGTTCAGCCATATAAAAGAGACATTTAACACAAACCTTGTTACAATTTATGAAGGAAATACTTAGTTCCCAGAGAGGGTGGCCATGAGTGCACATGAGTGCACATACATTGTACGCCAAGAAGGGAGCCATTTCCAGCTGACTCCTGGCCTACTCTGGCTTAGGGAAACAAGGAGAGCACTTGCAAAGATACGGTGCAGAGAAGACAGGTTATTTTTCTTTGAATTTACATTATAGATATATTCAGTAGCTGATTTTGGCAAGAGCGAATGAGGTCCTCCACCTGCAAGTAGCTGTGCTTCATACAAGAGCAAATTGAAGCTGTGTGCTCTAGTCATAGGCCTTCATGTGAGATAAAAATGAGCTTTGGCCCATCTGCTCCTTGAAAATATTGTGCTGTCTTGTGGTAGCTAGAATATGCTCTGTATGTCAGTACAGTCAAAACAAAACCAAACGATACCATCTATTCAGTGTTTCTGAGATGAATTAACGGGAATGTTCTGTTATTGACAGAAACTTGAGATAAGGAATAACTTTGGGCAAAAATTGCCAACACTGTTCAGCTTCTTGAAGCTACTTGAAGAGCCCTGGCATCATTAGAATGAAAACACCAGTGTGTGGGTTTATAGGAACAGAGCAATTGCTAGATTTTCCCAAATGACGTGGTGCCACCTGCGAAACAACAAATTAAAATTCTCCCACATCAGTCAGATTTTCTGCAAAGACTACCTACATTTTTGCCGTCACTTAATTTATACTTTTTCATAAAATATTGTCTTTAAGTGATACGTGTCATCCTAGTGTAGCTGCATATTAATGCACAACCTCTTCCTTCAGTGCTTTTGTTTTTGGAAAAAGAAACTAAATTTCATCATGATGTTTGTTGAATGTTGTAACAATCACTATGAATGCTATAATATAGCAGTGTGATATAACAATGTAACAAACGCGATAACAAACATTATGTGTAAGTAGCTAATCTATTGAAGCCTAGCAGACCAGTAACTGAATTTTGGGGATGCCAGCAGTTCTGAAGAGAAATAATCCAGAGATGAAAAAATTACTAAAAGAATTAAAAAAGAATAGGTTGAATAAAACTTTAATCAACATGAAGACCTTTCTACTTTGCCAATGGTTTGTTTTAGAGCTTTTTCTGAACGTGCAGCCAAAGCTGATAAAACATAAGAGTGAGAGGAACTGGGGGCAAAGGGGACTTTAAGGGATATTTGCACTGCTGCCAGGGATAAGGCTGGTGGCCTAAATGACCCACCACTGAGTTACGGTCAGATGGCTTGTGCAAAGTCACAGTAGCTGCCCATGAATCTGATAGATCCTAAGTCAGCATATAGCTGATGATTTATTTTTTTCCATGCCATTGTTTTCTGTTGTGTTTACTTTTCTTTGTTTGTGGGTTTTATTTTGTTATATGTAGGGGTCATCACTGATGGATTTTAATGTTTACTCTGTCATCTGGGGGAAAAAACAGAATATTAAAGGCAATGTAAACCTTTTTATAAATATGTTACTAAGTACAGCTTGACAGTTTGGTTCAAGTTCCTGCATCTCATTTGGTGATATCTCCACATA